TTTAAAAAGTAAAATAAGCAAAATGTCATCCCTTTAAAGCATCTGAATATCTACTCCCTTAGTTATTTTCTCTTTACGTGATGTCTGGGAAACAGGACAGGAGTAAGAGTTCCCTGCACCTACAAATCGAGATAATGTGGACAGTAGTGACCCCTAGTTTATTCTAAACTATTACATGAGAGAAAAATACATGGTTAATTAATCTCTTTGTTACACTAGTTCAGTCTGTACCCCTATCTCAAGTAATATGAGAAATGATGATTTTGCTAACTTCCGATTATGCGCCAACAAATATTCCATAGGGATGATATCAATTTCAACAGTTCTATGAAGTAAAATATCTTCACGAGGTCATAAAGTTGCCATTAGAAGAATCGCAAAGTAGAATAATCTTAAGTATTTTTACAGCATACGTTATAATATTTCACAAAATGTTTATTTCCTTCAATAATGAGCATGGAGACAAAAATCAGGCAAAACTTAACTTTGTATATGATTACTAGCATCTCTTTCAATAGATTCCAGACACAAAACAACTACCATACCATATTCTCAAACAGAATCTGAAGGGTTTGAATTCTACATGCAAATTTACATTTTACAATTTCTTTGTCAAATTTACGTTTCTAAGATATTCAACTTAAAGCACAAATGCGTGGTCACCTGGGACAGTTTTGGTTTTCCTGATGGTACATTTGATGAAAACAGCAGCATCTTAACTAGTACATTAACCCTGAACCTATACAGGAACATATTTACTTTATCAAACTATAAGCAGAAATAGAAAAGGTAAAATGCTACCATGGACTCTTATGAACCACTACTTTTTGACTTTGAACTTACACTAAATTGAATAGTAGTTTATCCTAGGACAAAAATTTAATATTGCAAGCAGTATCTTCATGCATATTAAAAATAGCAATGTTCAATTCATAAGGTTTCCCTAAGATTAAAAAGATACTGCTTTTAGAGCTTAGTGAAGTTTTTTTTAACTATATGTCAATGTTCACTTCACAAGCTATCCTAAGGAATAGGATAATGCATGTAAAGAGCTTAGTACAGTACTTTAACTAATGAGAAAAATAATGAAGTTCTTCAGTTGTACCGAAAAGGCTTTAATGTACCAAATACACCAAGAAAGTTTATATGTATAAATTCCCCTAATTCTCTTTTTTTCTTCCATCACTTATTCTACCCACTTTGACAGTCAGAATATTCAATTGATGGGCAATGTATTCTCCTAATAGAGCTTTAGATAATGAAATGAGTAAACAGGAGATATTTCAAAATTCAAAAGCAATAGGGATACTACTACTTAAAATTTATTCATTCTTGCTCTTTAACAAGTTTCCTTATTTGAGAAAAATTTCTCAATTGTAAAATAAAGGCATTTCATTGACTCAATGATATATATCAAATTATATAGAAATAATACTTTATGATGTCATAGAGCAATTTTCACAAAATTACAAAGAAGTTTTATTTGAACTGTGCTGTTTCATTGGAACTACCTCCAAGGCTTCACGTAAAGAGCTTGGTGAATACCATGTATCCAATAAAAACAATTACATTAAATAATTTGGGGGAAATTATTTTCCTATTTTCCTACATAATTTCAACACAGGAAACTACTACATATTTATATTTATTTCACACTTAGTTCCAAATCCCCAATATCAGCTTAGAATTCACTCTCAGCTCTACTCTTGTGTTTTAGTTTTGTTTTTTTACTTGGGGTCATATCCACCTAATTCTGTACTCAGTGATCATTTCTGGTAGTGTACTGGGAAAACAAATCTGGTAGAAGAAACTGAATTCAAATTAGTGGCATGTAAGGCAAGTGCCTTACTCACAGTGTATTCTCTGACCCTTAGCTCTACTCTTAACTAGTCTGTACTATAAGATACAATGGTAAAAAGAAAAAAGGAAGAAAAGAAAATTTGATAATAAACGTTGTCAGTCAAAAGGAAAGAAGCATAAAGAACTACTTATATAAAGTTACTCAATCTTCCTGTATCCAAGCACTTAAATTAATTTTTCTGAGTATTTTTGTATTTTTGTTATCATAACTAGATAATCCTCAGCAGCAAAAAATCGGAATTTTTTATAAATAAAAAATTTTTATTTATAAATGTATTTTTATAAAATTTTTCATGATTTACTACATTCAACACTTTTTTTCCAATTCTCCGAATAACCCCTCAAGCCTGTTCCTGTAGCAAAACCTGAATAACTTATTTTATATTTGCTTGTTATAATTTGCTAAAAATGATCAAAAAATACTTTCTTAGAAGAACATGTGTGAATATTGTTGTATCTCAGAGTGGAGCCATTAAACCCTTGCAGAAGAAATTACTAGCCAGTTGTTACCAGTTAAGTCTTATGTGTTTACACTTTCTTAATCAAGATTTGTTGCCTTCTATCTACATCCCATCCGATGTGGTGTGCTACTACTGGTTCATCAGTAGTGTAGAGTTTGAGATGTTGTGTAGCCACAAATGTGGCCACGTGCTCCAGGAATTCAAAAATTTTGAAATTTATTTATGAGTCTCTGGATCATGGTTGGTTAATGAGCTTATTTGGCCCCAAAGCAGTTAACTGTCAGGCTTCTGGAAGAATAGGGAGATGTGAGGAAGTAGCTCATCCCCAACTACATGAGAGCATGAATATCTCAGTCACAATACCCCCATAGCTGAGTTTTTGAACAGATAAATTTCTGGATGAGTCTTATCCCAAGCAATGGCGTCTGACCATGAAAATGGTGGAGATTGTACAGTGGGGAGGTTTTTGGCTCTGCGGCTCTGTTTGGCTGGTTTCTGGGACTGGGTGGGTACTTTCCCTTTCCAGGGTGCCCTGGCCCTGGGAGACACATCCTGGCGCAGTGTGGAAGCATTTCTGCCTGACTGAGATTTTCTTTTTTTTTTCCCCTTATCCTGTCCATTCAATTTTGTTGTCCAAATTAAGACAAAGCCATCAATATTACCACTCTTCTTCGTAATCTCTATATCATGAGGAATAAGAGAAATGAGGGATGCTTTGTTGTTTAAGATGAGCTTCAAAAAAAAAAATTCCCTAAGAGTGAGATCAAATGCTAACACCAAAAGTAAGACTGAGGTCGGCCAAGAAAGTGGTTTTTGAGGCTGCAGAAATACTGGAGGAGCTAAGCAGCACTCCCCAGAGCAAGCTTGTCTTTTATCTCAATATGTCAACGGTCATATAACTTCTAACTATAATATATCAATTCTCATTGCTTTTACTCTCATTCCACAAATCCTTCACTTTCCTGGAGGTGCCCCTTTTATCCACACATCTTTTTGTATTCTAATGTATTTTCCCACAATGTGTTTTTATAGATCCCAAGCACCAGCTTAAAGGGGCTTACACATATCTTTGTACCCCCCCATATATGTAGATTTCATTTTATTATTAGAGTGTTGGTTCTCTGGAAAGAAAAAGAGTGTGACTACCAAGCCCTAAATAAGTCCTAGGTATATTATGTACTAAAACAATATTAATTTAATTTAATCATTTGTTATTCATGAGGAATACCTTCAATTTCAGTATTTATCTCAACTGATATTTAATTGTGTTCAACATGTTTTGGCTTAAATAGAACTACTGGGTTTTTTTTTTTGTTAGGTTTATGGGTTATAACTGGTGGTATTCAGGGATTATTCCAGCCTCTGTGCTCAGAGATCATTCTTGGTAATGCTCCAAGGTCTACATACAGTTCTGAGAATCCAACCAGGCAGGCTATAAGCAAGGCAAGTGCCTTATCCTGCCTTTTTATCTCTGCAGCCCCCTGATGCCCACAATTGTTAATATTAAGTTTTTGATTTGGGGCTAGAGAGATGGCTCAAATTACTGGAGTGGAATCATTAAGGAACCCCAAGCACTGCCCACGTAGCCCCAAGTATTGTACCAGGAGTAAACCAGTATAGCTCTCAGAAATACAGCCATGACACAAAAGAAAAAAGTTTTGTTTTGGTGCTAGGAATTGATCTCCAGGGCTCATATATGTGAAGCATGACTCAACAACTGTGCTATTTTTCCTTACCTGAATGAGATGATTTTAAACTATTTTCTTAATAAAGTTTATTTATAAATTTCTATTAATATGTAAAAAAATCATGTATTTTATATTCTTTGAGAAACAAAGTCCCATGTTTATCATATAAATGTCTGAAATACCCATGGACATACATGGAAATTCTGTTAATCTCACTGGCCCATCAGATTTTGGGAAAATAAAAGGCCCCAACTGCATCTCTAAGAATACAGATGGAAGTCATTTCATATTGTTATATTTGCTTACACTGAGATGGAAATGGTGAAACAATGTTTTAAAGTGACATTTAAAATATTGTAAGTCTTACAGAACTTAAACATGTAAATGTGCTCACAGGAAATAGACTAAGATGTATATAGATATTTTATATGACTCACACCTTCAAAAATCATATTAGAGTTTTATAGTCATTTCATAGATAGAAGAAAAGCTATGTTTTATATTCTTTCCTTTCCTTGAATTAAAGTCTTTAATAACTACCTTGATGATTCACTACTGTCTAGACCAGGCTTCTAAGCAATTTTCAACTATTCTGGAAAATAAAATCTAGTCTCAAAGAATGATAATGCATTCCTACTGAGGATTTTTTTTAAAAGAATTCTTCTCAGTATTTAAAATCACCTCTGAAGTAATTCTAAAATATTCTCTGAAGAATGAAAAGAGAATATTCCATAGGGGAGACAATGCCACATTTGGATTCACGGAGGGGAGGTCTATACATAAACTTAAGAGTGCAGTGAGAAATTCATTCATTGTAAGCATGTTTCTTGTTGAGTGTCTAACAATGCCATGGTTCTCCCAGGAAATTCTCTACCAGAACCATAGGTAAAAGCATACCCTATATAAAATAGCGAAATACGGTTTCTGCAAAAACATAGAAATGCACTGAAATTAAAGAAACGAAAAACAGGTTAATTTGAATTTTACTCACATCAGCAAGTTGACCGACTCCACTTGCTGTTTTTGCCAAAGTGACAAGGTCCTCTTGCATCTTATCCACCCATGACTTTATTCTGTATAAATCAGAAAAGAACATATTTCATTAGTTTTCTGGCATATTAAAAAGCACAGACCACTCTTCTGCATCCATGCTACAGAGAAGTAATTAAATTGTCATTCCTTCTTCACACTTGTAGAGTTCACTACATGTACTCTTGCATTTCACAAATTATAACGCCAAAGAACTTTTAGTATACAAATTCATTTGATGCTGAAATACCCCAAATAAAGAAAAGAAAAATGATATGGATGTGCTGCAAAATGAGTCTTTCTTCCTTTAATTTCCATTAGAATAGAAAATAGAAGGTTCTAAACGAAACTCTAGGTTTCAAGTCTTATAAATACTAAGTGTGTATTATTTGTAGGATACTTACAGAAACACAAGAAAATATAATAAATATGTCTATTGATTCCATTACCACAGGGAAAATGGTTCTCAACATGTTGATGATGGAGTACATTTTTTTTACATTTGAAAATCCCCTCATATGGCCCAATGCATATTAGTTACAACTCATATACCTTTTTCTTTCGCATGACAAATATTCTTCCATGCCATTATAAACATTCTATAACGTTTTTATTGATGCTTAATATCCTATTATCTATACCTTACAAAATATCCTTTCTGTGTACAAAACTTCAAATCAATTCATTTTCTTAACTAGACACTTGGAGTTACAATTACTGAATCAAAGTTTGACTTTTAACTTCATATGTCTACATTTACATATGCAGTCTTTTTAGATGAATGCAGTAAAGATCTTAAAATATGGGCTATAGATGTTAGACACATTTAGAAAAACCTAAATCAATGACCTTACTATTTCCTGGTACTAAAGACAATACAAATACCACAGAATTTTCCTCATTCAGGTCAATAAAATTTAATTTATAATCCTTTCACATTATTAACTTATTAATCCCCTCTCTTTTGTGAAAAGATCGAAAGGTGTATTCTTTTCTGCATATTCAGATATACAAACATATGTATGAATACAAAAGCCTAGGTCCAGACAATGACTATGTAAAGCTGGGGTAGAAAATTACTGTCTTATAAAAGAAAATGATTTTTATAACCCATAATTGTTTTACTAAAACATGTATCTTCTTCAGCTTCACCCCTTCTTTCTTTAGATACATAAGAATTCAGTACAAAGTTTCCAAAAATGATTAGATGAACTTAAATTCAATAGGCTCAAAAATATTTCCATTAAATGTGAGAGGAAATAGTATACATGAAAATGGATTTATATGATCTACAGGCAAACATTTATTTGTATGTGTATGCATCTATATAGACTACCACAGAATGAAAAGAAGGAATAATAATTATTTTAAATGTTGTATGAATATAATTTTAAAATGTAAGTAAAGATTAAGAAACTAAAGGAAATTAACTTGGAAAAGAGCGTGAAAGAAATTTATATAACCATTAAACCTTGCTCATCATGCTATGCTATTATAGACTGTGATGTTATAAGCTGGTGGATATGTTTGAAAATGCTATTAATGGTAATGATCTTATTACTATAAGTGGATAAATATTAAGAACAATAAATCACAGTAGAGAATGGTTAGGAGCAAAGAGCACTGGCAGCATTTTCTAATTCAGAGGAGAAATTCCCATTTCTCTAAGCAGTTACTTACTTAATTCTAAACCTCAAGAAAAAAAAATGGAACTATGTCTTCTTAGATATTATTACCAACATTGCTAATTAAGAAGTGTTAAACACCCCTTTAGACTTACACATCCCTCAAGATAAATAAACAGCATGCTTTGGGGTAATGTGCTCTGAATTACTGTGATAGGATGTATATAAGAAATAATAAGAGTCACTTTCACTTAGGGAAAATTGCAGAAGACAGTAGGGAAGCTTTTCTACAAAAAGAATACACTGGAAGTGAGATCTGAAAGAGAAGTTTTGACAAAATTGAAAAAGAAAGGAAGCAACAATGACTACAAAGGGAATGTAAAACATGGTGCATTTTCCATCAAGTTTTGAGCTCCAAACCCACGTATATCCAATTACCTTGTCTGAATGGCAGAAATCCAACATGGGTTCAGCAATGATAAGGACAGAGGCTGGAGTGAATTATGAAAAAAAAAATCACATAAACAGCTATGTTCGATCAGGTCTTCAAAAACATTATAAAGAATCTGGATTTTGTTCCCAAAATAATGAAAAATGTGGAATTAAAGAGTAACGAAGTCAAGTAAATGTACATGAATATGATAAAATAATTTCCCTGACAGTGAAGTGGATATTGGCTTGGAGAGGGAAGAGAAAGTAAAAAAGAAAGATCTAGATAAGAGATATACAATTCCAATGATTCATACTAGTTTTATAGCAGTTAGGAGAAACAAAGGAAAAATGCCAAGAACAAAAAATTACCTTAACAAAATTTCTGAACTACACACTATAAGATTATATGTATTACCAGATACAGTGAGTGGAATAAAGGACTTTACGATGACTCATAAAGTTTTCCACTTAGATAAAAGGGTACTTGATGTAACAAGTATAGTTGAACAAGAGTTGAGCATTGATACTTGTGCTGTCATTGGTCTACTGTAGTACTTGAGAGATGCATCTACAGATCCCTATTTGGTGATGGAATGCACATGATTTTGGTGCTCAAAAAAGTTTCTACAGAATTTAAAGATTTGCTAGTTAAGCATGTTTATTCAAGACTCATGTAAATTAATGCATGATTCCCAAAGAGGAGTATCTAGATAAAGGTGGAAATAAACAGTAACCAGAAATATGAAATATTAATGAGAAGTCTGTATAGTCAAAATAAATGGAATCAAGGACAACGATAACACTAAATCTAAAGAAGGGCGTTTCCAGAATAAGGGAAAAAATATGTACCCACCTGATATGCAAGGAGAATGAGGAAAATCAGAGTGGAATCTACCAAAGAATAGAGAATGAATAGTCAGTGCTTCTTTGACTATTGTTTGCACGTCTGTTTTTAGAAGAGATATGGGCATGTCTCTAAAAGGAATGGTAACTCAGGGGAAGAAAGAGTTTACCAACAAACATGTCAATTTATTAGTAAAGCAAGGTCTCAAATGACTTTAGATTCATTAGGCTTATCTCTTCTGACCTTTGTAGTTCTAACTCAAGGGTGTGAGAGATGGGTGAAGCTATGATCATAGCACAGGGAAAACCTCATTCATGGTAAGCAGAAGTAACATAATAACAATCATGGGTAAATGTAAATAACTTAGCAACTAGATCAAAAGCTAAAATAGTTCTATACCTGGTGTTCTTTATTAGGCAATATATATAAAGAGAGGGTCACTTAAAAGCAAGTTGGAGACTTAAAAGAGCAATGGCTGGAAGTACCTAAGGACATACCCATACATCCGTTTTCCTTGTTTCTAATCAGCAAGGCTGTGCCAACTTTCTCACCATTAAAGGATTGGTGGTAGCAAATTAAGAGAGGTAAACACAGATGAATATGAGGCAGATACCAGAAGAGAGGCGGGGAAAGTACGAGAAAAACTGAAATAGTAGGCTTGAAAATTGCAAGATCTCTATTCATTCTAAGTAACAAAATCTACCATCAATAATCATAAATGCAATAGTACCATAATCATAAGTAATGCTTATTTCCTAAATTCATTTTCCATGGAAACAAATATCAGATATCAATATTTCTAGGAAAAATGTGATGTGAAAACACTGTACTGCCAAACTTCAAATCACTCTAAAGTCCTGGGTTTTGTGCTAATAATGTTATTAAAGTATATGCCAAAAAACTAATTGAAAACAGTGGCTTAGATATGCATATTCCACTTAAAGTCACTTGAAACATCCTTTTCAAAAGGAAGAATCCTAAAATTACTGTAAAATAAAACATATTGCTCTCAGTTTAATTGCTGGCTGAAAATTTTTCAGAAATAGCTGCATATTATAAAACTTAAGAACTGGAAAAATTGAGCCAATGTTTATCCTGTTATAAATGTTGAATTTTGCTCGAGCGGGCCCAGTAACGTCTCCATTGGAGACTTTGTTGTTACTGTGTCTGGCATATCGAATACTCTCGGTAGCTTGCCGGGCTCTCCGAGAGGGGCGGAGGAATCGAACTCGGGTCGGCCATGTTGGCCGCGTGTAAGGCGAACGCCCTACCCGCTGTGCTTGACTACTAGTAATAGGCAGAGTGTTTCCTTGAGAAAACATTCAATTTTCAAATCTGTGGTGTCAGGAACACATTGTTTGTTAGAAACATAATTCTCTTGCTTCTGGTCTCAAGTGGTAACAGACTTCAAAGTTATAGAACAGGGCTTGAGCATGATTGATGGTCAGGAGAGTAAGGAATCAATGGCATTTGCAGACGAAAATGGTGAAAAATTCGAGCAACTGTACATGTGGTCAATATTTGTATGCAGTACAAATATCCACTTTTTGCTACCCATTGTCTCTCCTTTTGCCACTCTCCTCCTGCACCGATAGATTCCTTCAACTCCTGTGTACCATGACTCTGATCTCTTTTCTCTTTATTATTGTCTGACCATTCAACTCTAAACTTGAGGATGTTTTGTAACTTCCAACTGGCTCTTAATTCTCTCCTTTATTAGTACTCATTCCAGTATCATGCCCTTAAAGATTATCTTTATAGATATTATCCTTACATATGAACTCCCATTCTACTTTTTTGGTTTGGGCCATACCCTGCATTGCTCAGGACTTGCTCCTAACTCTGTGTTCAGGCATCATACCTAGTGGTGATTAAGTTATACACGGTATCAGTGACTGGTCAGCTGCATGCAAGTCAAGTAACCTACCTGCTATACTATTTCTCATCTTTCCTCCCATCTACTTTACCCACAATTTGCCAGGTCATTCTATTCTGTGTGTGCGACAAAATAGTATTTACTGAGAGAAGCTGTGAGAGGAGAGTGAGAAGTGTTCAAGAAAGAACACTTCTTTTCCAGAAAATAAAAAATCTAGATCATCACATTTTATATCCCACCATTCTTTTTCAAAGTATCTGTAAAACT